GAGCTGTAGAAAGAAATGCTGGCGCTTCCTCAGCACACTATAAGCCTTATTTGTAATGACAAAACAAGACACCCAGAGCCTCTGAGATCATCTAAACACCGAAATAACCTTGAGTGTTAAGGGCTGTCAGGAGACTGGGGTCTTCACTTATTTCCTGATTTTGTTGCCTGTTCCCTAACTCTTCCAGTCCATTTTCCAGCCAGCAGCAAAAGTGATCTTTTAGAAATGTAAATCACCTGTTACTCCTGTTCTTCAAACCCTCCAGTGGTTTCCAATGACACTTAGAATGAAATCCAACTCACTCCAGGTCATAAAGACTTATCTGATCTAGCCCCTGCCTGGGTCCCTGTCCTCATCTCCTCCTTGCACAACAGAGTCCAGTCATGTGAGTATCACCTTGGGTCACTGCCTAGAACAGCCCAAGATCTTGCCTATCTAAAGGACTTTGCACTTGGTTCCCTCTGCATAGATTGCTGTTCCCTCCTATCCTATGGTTGATTTCATCCATTAGGTGTTACTATCTCAGAGAGGCTTTTCCTGACTTTCCTAACCAAGGTAGGTCTCCCCTGTGATTCTCTAAAATGCACTGTTCATCTCCTTTCACAGTATTTAATGCAACCAGCAATTATTTACTTGTCTTCATCACTGGAAAGTGACTTTGTCTCAACCATTCTTGTATTTCTAGTGCCTAACACAGCACACGGCACAACCAGGCACTGGGCAAATACTGCTGAATAAATGAATGAGTGCAATGTGTTTTAAATTTGCTGAGCGTGATCTGTAAAAGGAGTGGCTTGCAGTAGCTCTGTGACCCTCACACTTATTTACATATCAGAATCACCTGGAGAGCTTTCAGAAAATACAGATTCCTGAGCCCAGACCTGAGTCACTTCTGGGTGGGGTCCAGAGAGACGATATACTTAATAACTTCCCCTGAGGACTCTGATTCAAAACCAGATAATCTGTGATGCCCTATCTGGCTCTAATGTTCTGTCGATTATCCTACAGCTAGCTACATTCTTTTGGTATCATAACTGGATTCTGATATGAGAAGCTGTTTAGGTGGCAGCAGTGGAACATCATTAAGAAAAAGTACAACTAAATCATCTCTGTGTCAAATGAGGCTAATTACACCAGTAAACCCTCCCTGTCAGCATATGGATAAAATGCACAGTAGAAGCAGCTGGGAGAGATTTATCCACTTCCTACGCTCGTTCAGCAAGATGCAAGTCAGATGAAGGAGCACTCCTTACTGAAATTCCTAAATCAGCTTGATCATCAAAAGCATTTTGATCACATTAAAATGAGTGGAATTCATCAGAAGAGAATTTGAATCTAAAAGCTTATTCCTTGGGGGAGTTTCATATTTATATGCAAATAGTGGTTTTCTATTTTCTTTATACAGAATTCCACCTAGAAGTCTCTCAGTTTCTTTCTGTAAAAGCAACAAGATTTTTGAAAGCTCTTTTGTTTATTGCCGTTAATATAATGGTTTCTATCTTAAAAATGGCTTTTAAAATGTAGTACATGTAAATGTACTACATTATGTAAACATACTGTATTTTATCATTGCCTTTGTTTTTCTTTAAGTATTTCTGCAGTTATCCATGAGTTATGAGAATCCTGTTGAACATTTATTGATGGTTACTCTGTGCCATGTACCATCCTACTCTATATACATCTATAGATATAGATATAAATAAAACCTCATATATATGTATAAAACCTCATTAATTTTCTCAATAATTGCATATGGTAGACACTATTATCAGATATGGGCTAAGTTGCTCAGTATCACATGACTTAGAAATGCAGCTGACACTGAAATCCAGGTATACTGATTCCAGAGCCGCCTCTTTAATATTTAGCTCTGTATTTCCTGAAGTATGAATTATTTTAAGGTTGGGGAGGGTTGGGTTAAAAAATTGGTTTCTTTACTGTAGGATTTCTCAGAGTTTCTCAAAGTTAATTGTGCTTTACAAGTATCTAAAACACAAATGCAGAATATAACATTTCCCAAGCCTCCCTGAACAAAATATTTTTTCTTTTTCTTTTTTTCTTTTTCTTTTTTTTTTTTTTTTTGTTGCGTCTCTTTAGATCATTGTTCTGCAAAGAAAAATCTATGAAATGATGGTCCACAAATCAGTGGTCTACAAAGTGGTCTACCTCCATGCCCACCAAGGCCAACTCTTCCCCCTTTTACAGGGACTAAAAGGAAGACCTGGCCAGGCATGGTGGCTCATGCCTGTAATCCCAGCAGTTTGGAAGGCCGAGGTGGGCAGATCACCTGAGGTCAGGAGTTCAAGACCAGCCTGGCCAACATGGTGAAACCCCAGTCTCTACTAAAAATACAAAAATTCACCAAGTGTGGTGGTACACGCCTGTAGTCTCAGCTACTGGGGAGGTTGAGGCACAAGAATCACTTGAACCCAGCAGGGAGAGGTTGCGGTGAACTGAGATCATACCACTGCACTCCAGCCCAGGCAGTAGAGTGAGACTCAGTCTCAAAAAAAAAAAAAAGACCTGATAGGGGAGAGGCCAAGGATAAGTTGCCAGTACATAACTGTGTCCTTTGAAAATTCTCATTCAAGTAGATTGGAAATACCTTTCCAGGGCATTAATTATGTATGAAAAGCCTTTCAACCTGGAGTGCTCAAGATAAAACACTGGGGTAGAATGAAAATATTTTAACTTCCATTTCAAACTCACACTTGACTTTTTTTCCTTTTTCACAAATTTTATCAATAAAATATCCTTGGACAGATACACAAGAAACTAAAATCCTTGGATACTTTTGGAGAAAGGAATGGGATATCTCAAGTTTCAAACTTACATATATATGAAATGTTGGAATGGTAACATGTATATCTGTTTGTTTGTTTTTATTTATTTATTTTGAGATGGAGTCTTGCTCTGCCACCCAGGCTGGAGTGCAGTTGTGTGATCTCGGCTCACTGCAACCTCCGCCTCAGCCTCCTGGGTAGCTGGGACTACAGGTGCCCACCACCATGCCTGGCTAATTTGTGTATTTTTAGTCGAGATAGAGTTTCGCTATATTGGCCAGGCTGATCTTGAACTCTTGACCTCAGGTGATCTTCCCGCCTCGACCTCCCAAAGTGCTGGGAATACAGACATGAGCCACAGCGCCCAGTCAACATGTATAATATCTGTAAATATTTAATATACATAGATTGGAGATGGATCCTAGTAGGTTGGTGCAAAAGTAATTGTGGTTTTTGCTGTTACTTTAATTTATATAAAGTATTTAATTTCTTCATTTTCTTTGACCTAGCAATTTCACTTTTTGGAATTTGTTCAATTTACTCTAAGGAAATAAACTTGTGTGTTTATAAATGATTTAGCTATAGGGATATTTATTAAAGAACTATTTGTGCTTGTGAGAATTGAAAACATTCTAAACATCCAACAATTGAGGATTGGTTATATAAATTATGGTGCATCCATATAAAGAATCCTAACAAATGGCAATAAAAAAGTATTTAGTAGTAGAGTACACAGTTGCCTAGAAAAAAAGAATCCTGTCTTTGTCAGTCAAAAAAACAGATGAGAAAAAATGATAGAGTTTGTATGCTTTAAAGAAAGGACTGGAATGAAAAAACCGAAATGTTGATAGTGGTAGCTTCACAGTGAGGTAAGGGGAAAATTTTATTCTCTGCCTTCCTATGTTTTCCTAACTCTTGTACAATGAATGTGTATTTCTGAATAAGAATATATTTACGGGCCAGGCACGGTGGCTCATGCCTGTAATCCCAGAACTTTGGGAGGTTGAGGCAGATGGATTGCGTGAACTCAGAAATTCAAGACCAGCCTGTGCAACATGGCAAAACCCCGTCTCTACAAAAAATACAAAAATTAGCTGGGTGTAGTGGTGCCTACCTGTGGTCCCAGCTACTCAGGAGGCTTGAGCCTGGGAGGCAGAGGTTGCAGTGAGCTGAGATTGCAGCACTGCACTCCAGCCTGGGTGACAAAGCTAGACCGTGTCTTAAAGATATATATAATAAAACTTGTGTATCATGTATTCTTGCACCCTTTGTCACACAAATAATAGCATGTAAAACACACTCTTTTGTACTTTGCCATATTGTGTAAACTTGCACACATGCCATTTTACCCATGTAGTGTATCTGAGGATACATTTCTTAAAGTGGAGTTGCTGGGTCAAAGGAAATGGACATTTGTAATTTGGACAAATGTTGCATATTGCCCCTTCAGGGTTGGAAAAAAAATCTTCTCATAGTTTCTTTTAGTATATTAGTGGTCTGGATTTTTTTTTTAACATTTCACTTTAGATCCATTTTCATTGATATTGGCTTAATGGATACTTAATAAGAAAAGCAAATAATTTAAAATATTAAACTCACTTTTAGTGGAAATTCAAGTGCTGGTTGTTCCCATCTGTTAGATCACAGGATCTAGATGCAAATAGGACATCTTGCAAAGGTTCGGCTTACACAGAGGATGAATGACATAGCAAGACCTCTGCTCCACCGTACACTACTTTATTTGCTTCCACAGTCAACTTGTAGTGAAGAGGCAGACCCTAAGAGTTTGATTTCTACCTTCAAGTGAATTCTTCACATCAAAAAGAATTCAGGTTGCCGGTTGGACTTCCCTTCTGAAATATTGTAAGTTGCTTTAATTTTTAAATAAAAACAAGTGGAATCCCCTGGAGTATTGGGGTATATAGGTACAAGCTGCATGAATTTGTGTGTGGCAACATGATGGCATATAGGAAGATAATTAATTTTATTCCTGCAGAGATTCTGTGGTCTCTGCTAGTCTCTGGCAAACATAGCAGCTGTACTGAAATGTCAGATGGATTTGCACAGCTGACTCAAGTTGCCGAAAAGAGAGCAGCATAGTAGTTCCATAAATTGACCCCAACCCGCCAAGCCCTGCTTAATATAGATCCGGCAAGAGCTTAGCTGTGATCACTCCTAGCTGTTCAGCAAACCACTGAGGTTCCTGGGGGAAAAAAAAATATCTCAAGGGTGTGTTAACTTGGGACACTTGTTAACTTGGGGACCTTCTTGAGGCTTTTTTTTTTCTTTCTTTTTAAAAATCATCTTTGATTATTCTTTTCTAGTAAAATAATATTTAGAAAAAATAATGTCGGAGCACAGCAGAAATTCAGATCAAGAAGAACTTCTCGATGAGGAGATTAATGAAGATGAAATCTTGGCCAACTTGTCTGCTGAAGAACTGAAAGAACTGCAGTCGGAAATGGAAGTCATGGCCCCTGACCCCAGCCTTCCCGTGGGAATGATTCAGAAAGATCAAACTGACAAGCCACCGACAGGAAACTTCAATCATAAATCTCTTGTTGATTATATGTATTGGGAAAAGGCATCCAGGCGCATGTTGGAAGACGAACGAGTTCCTGTCACCTTTGTGAAATCCGAGGTAACCAGAGATTTGTGTACAACAGAGAAATGGCTGCCTGGGCTGGGCTGTTAGGTGTCCCTTTTGTAACTGTGATTTCTCAGGACTCCAGGGTTTCGTTCTGCTTTGTTTCTGCCATATCTAGATTAAACCATAATATTTAATCCTACTCCAGACTGGAACTTTCTGAAACACTTACATTTATATTTACAAGGGGAAAATTGGGTGATTTCTTGCAAATGTCTCTTTTTAAAAATTGCTGTCGGGTTTGCTGTGTCAGAAAGCCTGTGTTCTATTGCCACGATACTTGGTGACTTAACTCATAACCCAGGCAGTTGTCCTTAACTCTCTCTCTCTTTTTTATTGCAGGCCCCTTTGAGAAACTAATGACAGTTCTGTAGCCTCTCTCTCTCTGGCACATCCAAACATATGCAGTGTTTTGCACACAGTGTCAAACATTTCAGTCCTCCTGAAGTCTGGCCACACACCCTGCAGTTAAACCAAGTCGAATAACCAGAAAATATCTTATATTATTACTATGTATTGGCTGTCAGTGACGACATTTAGAAATAGATGGCTATTAAGTGGTTTTTGAAGCTAGTTCTTCTTCACTTTCTAAAATCTGAAACCTAGAATTGTTGACTCTTCAAACTTACTGCGCATGAGTATAATTTTTTTTTTAATGTTCCACTTGAAAATGACTTAAAGAGTACAGAGATGCCTCCTAGGTAAAGTCTCTTTAGGTTATGCCTGTTGACAAAGAGGCATCTTGTTAAATTACTACGCTGGCTGTAATTAAGGAAAGTTGTCAATTGGTTTTACAGTCAGGAGAGTTTAAACATGTACTAAGATTAAGAAAAGAAACAGCTGGATTGATCAGGTTAGAGTTCATGATGCAATTTGCAGATTTTTTCAACTGGAGGTCAATGGATTAAAAGCCAATTCAGTTTTGGGGGTAAAAATGAGTACTTGCAACATTTTTTTTCTTCCTCTGGTATAACTTAAAAAGCTTGATAGTTGGCTCCCCCTTCTGGTCAAGATGAGAAATGCAGTGGTGAAGACTTCAGGTGGTTAATGTGACTTGTCACTGTCTCTTCCGACCTAGTTATGAGCATGAAATTTTTGCTCAGATGAACCTGTGTCTCAACTTGCTGTACTGGCTTTCAAAATGATACCTATGAGGCACACATATTGCATAGAAAAGCATTATAATTGATGTGTAAGAATCTAATACACATTATTGATAAAAGGTCCATTTTATTTCCCAGACTAAGCAATTATTTCTCAATGTCTGCATAATCCTGTTTCATCTTACAGCTGGCTCTGGTTCCTAGGCACTTTCTTTCAAAAGAAACCGGGATAGTAAACTTCTCCCAGACAGAGTAGCCATGGCAGTTTTCAAAGAACTGAAAAAATACAATCAAAATTGAAGTTTTAAATATACATATATATATTCAAAATTAAAATTGAGGTTTTTAAATATACATATATTCCAAAATATCAAACTGATCTAATTTTCCATACATTATGTTATGTTCTCAGAGGAAGTTTATGTACACTCTACACTAGATTAGTAGACATTGTAGGAATGTTAATTTTAGGGCAATAATTTCATTATTCCAATATATTATAAATATAATTATATATATAATTATTTCTATATAAATAAATATATAATTATTTATATATAAATAATTATAAATATATTGGAATAATAAGGAGATTATTGCTCTAACTCAGGACTGTTGAGTACTAGATGCCTATTTGGCATATACAAAATCAAGGCTTCAATGTATCGATGAACAATTCTATCAGGTTTTCAAAACAATTTTTAACTGCTTCTGAAATTAAACACCATTAAACAACAGAATATTAAAACAAAATTAATAAGGTTTCATTTTAATATTGTTATTTATGGGATGGGATAACCACCCATTTTTAGCAATCAGCTATTTAAATAAGCATTATTTAAAATAGCAACCAGCTCTTTTAAACAAGTATTTTTCTCATCTCCACTAGCTGATGCTCTACTTCATATTTCTTCTCTGCTATGTACTCTAATCCTCATAAACCTCTCTTGTAGGAAAAGACTCAAGAAGACCATGAAGAAATAGACAAACGTAACAAAAATATGGCCCAGTATTTAAAAGAAAAGCTCAATAATGAAATAGTTGCAAATAAAAGAGAATCAAAGGGCAGCAGCAATGTCCAAGAAACAGATGAAGAAGATGATGAAGAAGAAGATGATGGTGATGAAGGAGAAGATGATGGTGAAGAGAGTGAAAAAATGAGCAGAGAAGAGGAAGGCAAAGCAAAGGAACAAATTAGAAATTGTGAGAACAACTGCCAGCAGGTAACTGACAAAGCATTCAAAGAACAGAGAGACAGACCAGAGGCCCAAGAACAAAGTGAGAAAAAAATATCAAAATTAGATCCTAAGAAGTTAGCTCTAGATACCAGCTTTTTGAAGGTAAGTGCAAGGCCTTCAGGAAACCAGACAGACCTGGATGGGAGCTTGAGGAGAGTTAGAAAAAATGATCCTGACATGAAGGAACTGAACCTGAACAACATTGAAAACATCCCCAAAGAAATGTTACTGGACTTTGTCAATGCAATGAAGAAAAACAAGCACATCAGAACATTCAGTTTAGCCAATGTGGGTGCAGATGAGAATGTAGCATTTGCCTTGGCTAACATGTTGCGTGAAAATAGAAGCATCACCACTCTCAACATCGAGTCCAATTTCATCACAGGTAAAGGGATTGTGGCCATCATGAGGTGTCTCCAGTTTAATGAGACGCTAACTGAGCTTCGGTTTCACAATCAGAGGCACATGTTGGGTCACCATGCTGAAATGGAAATAGCCAGGCTTTTGAAGGCAAACAGCACTCTCCTGAAGATGGGCTACCATTTTGAGCTTCCGGGTCCCAGAATGGTGGTCACTAATCTGCTCACCAGGAATCAGGATAAACAAAGGCAGAAACGACAGGAAGAGCAAAAACAGCAGCAACTCAAGGAACAGAAGAAGCTGATAGCCATGTTAGAGAATGGGTTGGGGCTGCCCCCTGGGATGTGGGAGATGTTGGGAGGACCCATGCCAGATTCCAGAATGCAGGAGTTCTTCCAGCCACCGCCACCTCGGCCTCCCAACCCCCAAAACGTCCCCTTCAGTCAACACAGTGAAATGATGAAAAAGCCATCACAGGCCCCGCAGTACAGGACAGACCCTGACTCCTTCCGGGTGGTGAAGCTGAAGAGAATCCAGCGCAAGTCTCGGATGCCGGAAGCCAGAGAACCACCCGAGAAAACCAACCTCAAAGATGTCATCAAAACACTCAAGCCAGTGCCGAGAAACAGGCCACCCCCATTGGTGGAAATCACTCCCAGAGATCAGCTGCTAAACGACATTCGTCACAGCAATGTCGCCTATCTTAAACCTGTAAGTAGAGGGAGGGAGAAATGGTGACTGAGCACCCTCCATAGAAAATGCATCCCAACTTTATTCCCTATTTGTTTTAACATAAGGGGATACTCACTAATTGAGACCAACTGGGGGAAGCCAATGAGCATTACCAATAGAACTAAATTACTGTTACCTCTAAGGAGGTATACCTGTAGCACCCCTATCTAGGTACGCCTATATGACTTCTGTAACAATAATATTAGCAGCTAATATTTAGGGAGCATTTACTACAGGCTGGAGTCGTTATATAAATTAACTCATGTAATCATCTTACCAACCCTATAAGGTCTAAGTACTGTTATTCTCCCCATTTAATAAAAAGGATACTGAGGCTTAGAGAATTTAATAACATGTGGAGGAGATACAGCTAGGAAGTGGTAGAACTGACGTTGAAACCCGGTTCTGAGTCCAGAGTCAAGCTTTAATTCACCTCATTCTTCTGACCTCTTCAAGTGCATATTCACAAGAACATCATTCCAGCCACAATGGAGCTGACACTCAGAGATCCCCAGGAACCTATAGTGAGAAATAAATAATAATGAGGCCAGGCCAGGTGCATTGGCTCACACCTGTAATTCCAGCACTTTGGGAGGCCTAAGCAGGTGGATCATGAGGTCAAAAGATTGAGATCATCCTGGCCAACATGGTGAAACCCCGTCTCTACTAAAAATACAAAAATTATCTGGGCTTGGTGGTGGGCACCTGTAGTCCCAGCTACTCGGGAGGCTGAGGCAGGAGAATCGCTTGAACCTGGGAGACAGAGGTTGCAGTGAGCCAAGATGGTGCCACTGCACTACAGCCTGGGTGACAGAGCAAGACTCCATCTCAAAACAAAAAAGGCCAAATTGGGCCAATTGTAGATAGTTGAATGTTTCCAAAATGCGTAGAAACAGTTCTTTTTAGTAGATGAAGAGAGACTGTCTGAAATTACATTTGTACTGCTCGCTTTTTAGGCAGATAAATGATGAACTTCAGGTTGGTGTCACCATGAATTCATGGAGTTTTACAATCACTGTTTCAGTTTAATATTTACCATGATTCACAATTACTGCTGAGTGGAAAGGTTATTTTCCTTGCAACTTAAGATGCAGAAATAAAAAATGTTTTGGTCATTATTATGATGGCATTTATTGAGGTTGAAAGATGTGTTTGGTGGCCACAGGAGATTGATAATTAACTATATTATTTTAAAATCTCGTGTAGTATAGCCATGAGATTATGTTGACAGAATAGTCAGTATATTATTTTATTACACAGATTCATGTTTTTAAAGACATGTTGAATTTTTATGCATGCATGCTTTTTTTCTGCTTTAAAGAGCTTGATATTCTGAAATAATTGCTAGTCTTTCACATATATACATATGTATGGTCCTTATTCCCAACTCCTAGAATGGAGAATTATCAATAGCCCATTCTTCTGAATCAAAGCTGACTTTCATCTATGGTTTAGAGAGGCTCTGATTCTTCCTGGAGCAGTGGCCAGGTTGAGATCGCCGGAGGTCACATGAGGTCGGACAATGGTTCTTTGCCTGCCCTTGGGCACAGCATGAAGATTTTCTGCACCTGCTCTTCTCTAGACAGCCAGAACTCCCCTGGGAGTGAATTGGGGTGTTGTTTGACAGAAACTAGTTCTACCACTTTTCCAGTAACTAGTCATTGGCAAAGAATATTCAAGCCACCTTGGTGGCCGTACATTCAGAAAAGAACAGTCTGAAAAGAATGATGAGACGTCTTTTTAAAAAATCTGTGTTAAAGGTGGCATGTAAATTCAGAGTAGAAGAGGGAATAAAGTGCAAAAGAGCATCTGAACCAAATCCCTGACTTCTGCGTGCTCTGCTGAGTAAATCCATTTTCCCTGGGTCATTTCCATTCTATCCATTCACTTATTTGTTAATCTAACAAATATCTATGTCAGGCAGGTGAGAAGGATTGGGGATATAGTGGTGAGTAAGTCAGGTTCAGTCTCGACCTCACACACAGCTTACAGTGTAGGTTTAATTTTTCAGCTCCTCTGCCTTTTACTGAACTGAGAACACTACAGTTTTGGGTCTAGGGTCTAGAACAAAAGACACTAAAATAAATTCATGATGATAATTGCAAGAATAAAACACCCCACCAAGCCCTGCATTTTTCATATTTTAATTCAAAACTGCTACCAATTTTAAGTGTATTTGGTGGTGGTGGTTTAAAAAATTTAATCTAAGAAAAACATGCTGCAAAGTGAACTCTGACATGTTTTTTGAATGACAACCTTGCATATCTCCCTAGGCTTTGAAATGGCTTCATTTATTCTGAAGGACGGGCAATTTCTCCTGCCTTCAGTTGCCTGGCTTGGCCTGTGACAGGCATCTGTTTGCATGTGTCTCAGTTATAACATGTCACACAGTTTCATCTATTTGGTCCTGGAAAATGTGCAGCAAGAAAAATATGAAAGTGCCTCATTGCAGTAATGAAAATTTGCTTCACTAATATCAATTTACTTCCCCGTATTCTGTTTCTGTGCCTTTCTGCATGCACTATAAATGTCTGCATGTACTATAAATTTCTGCTTTAAAGCCAAAACATAGTATAATCTTTTAAAAGATATTTTAATTGTTTTCTTTTTATTTTGAGGTCATTTTAGACTTACAGAAGGTCAAAAGTAGTACAAAGAATTCCTGCATACCATCTCACTTCACCACATTTGCTTACTTATCTTTCTTTAAAAGCTATTTTAAGAGGCAATACATCTGTGTGTGTCGTATCAACAGGGCACATGACTCAATGGAGGTAATAATAGCATGGATAGCTATGATGTGTTCACACCTGGGTCTCCAGCCAGCTATTGTAAAACACCATCAAATTTAAGATGCATTCTGATTTCAGAGCTGTTGAAATGTCCCAAAATATACATCTTAGACTCAAAATACAGTAAATACTATAAATGGTAATGTCACAAAATCCCAGCAGAAAGGGATGGTTTTAGCCAATCAAATGAGACAAGACAATGTTCACTTGAAAGAGGTGAAATGAAGGGTTTTGGGGGTTTGGGACAGATGCCCTCCAAATCCCTGGGTTTTCAAGACTGAGGTTAAAATCAAAACACAGTTTTTAAATCTTGTGGAGTTGTGTGTGTGTGTGTGTGTGTGTGTGTGTGTGTGTGTGTGTGTGTGTGATGTTCCTAACGAGAACATTGTTCAGAAACAAACTTTTTTCTTAGAAAAGTTTTTGCGTGTGTGTGTTTTTGTTTTTGAGACAGGGTCTCCCTCTATCACCCAGGCTGGAGTGCAGCAGCTCAATTACGGCTCACTGTAGCCTCAACCGCCAGGGCTCAAGTGATCCTCCCACCTCAGACTCCTGAGTAGCTGGGACCACACATGCATGCCACCATACTCGGCTAATTTTTTTTTTTTTTTTTTAATTTGTAGAGGTGAGATCTCACTATGTTGCCCAGGCTGGTCTCAAACTCTTGAGCTCAAGTGATCCTTCCGCTTCCGCCTTCCAAAGTGCTGGGCTTACAGGCATCAGCCACCATGCCTGACAGAAAAAAAATTTTTTAATTGTAGTTACTGGCTGGGAACGGTGGTTCATACCTGTAATCTCAACACTTTGGGAGGCCAAGGCAGGAAGATTGCTTGAGCCCAAGAATTCAAGACCAACATGAGCAACAAAACAAAGTGAGATTCTGTTTCTACCAAAAATTTTTAAAAGTTAGCCTGGTGTGATGGCATGTACCAGCTACACAGGAGGCTGAGGCAGGAGGATCACTTGAGCCCAGGAAGTCAAGGCTGCAGTGAGCCATGTTTGTGCCACTGCACTACAGGCTGGGCAACAGAGTGAGACCCTGGGTCAAAAATAAAAGTAGTTATTTTCCTTATATATTTAGAAATATTATTTTTGTACTTGATAGAGCACATGTATTTTAAAATTGTTTTTTAGGCTGTATGTGGTGGCTCATGCCTGTAATCCCAGTACTTTAGGAGGTCGATCACTTGAGGCCAGGAGTTTGAGACCAACCTGGCCGATGTGGTGAAACCCTGTCTCTACTAAAAATACAAAAATATTCTGGTGTGGTGGTGCTCGCCTGTAATCCCAGCTACTCAGGAGGCCGAGGTACAAGAATCACTAGAACCCGGGGGGTGGAGGTTGCAGTGAGCCGAGATGGTGCCACTGGACTCCAGCCTGGGCAACAGAGCAAGATTCTATCTCAAAAAAATAAAATTAAAAAGTCTTTAAAAAAAAAATTAATACTTCTTCTCTCCCTACCCCACGCCTGTGGCCTGGGATACCTGAAATGAAGTTGTTGGCAAAAAATAAAGGAAAATCCATATACTTGCTTTGCTCGAATGCTTCCTCCTCTAGGAAATTACCCATTCAATTTGGTTTAAAAGAAATTTACTCTGTGGGCCAGGTATTGAAAACTGGTAAAGCATGAGGTCAGATCTGCAGGCCCACTTTATTTGACTTGGGTATCATTGTGTAAGTTTTTGAATGCCACATGCAAAAAAATCCAGATATCTAGCACCACTTGGAGCATCAGATCTGGCCACACTGCACTGGCATGGAAACAATCAGCTGTTTCTGTGCCTTGGTTTCACCCTTGAGAATGCTCATGGACCCTCTAGTTTTTCTCTTTTGCCCTTACTGCTTTGCCCCTGGCATGCTTCCCTCATTTACATGATTTATTTGACTTCTGTAGAATTTTTTTAGTTTGCTCTTGTTGTTTTTAGCTATGTTTTTAAGAATCTTTGTCTTATCTAACAAACTGAATTTATTAGATAATGACTAAATCATTTCCCTCTGAGTTAATAAAGCTGAGTCAGTATGATAGCACAAAGACATTAGGCTGGTACAGGCCTATCCCTCCCTGACAAATGTGCGATATTCTTTCATCTTCAAAAGTGTTGTGGTCTGCTCACTCCTATCATCTCAAATGAGTATTTGTACTTTTCACTGAGATAAAATCCCATTTGCAGCAACTGTCTAATTCACTGAGGCCAGCTGCATTTTGTATCATATCCAAGCTTCTGTGCCAATCACGCAAGATTACTATTTTAACATTCACTCAATTTCACTTCAGGCTTACTCACATATATCTGGACTGCTCCCATCCAGTTGGCTAAAGCTATTGCTAAAC